ATTCCTTACAAAAGTATGGACAAGAATTACAAGCAGAAGAAAGAAAAGCAACTACGCGCTACCTAACTCAGCAGTACCATCTCCACCCGTCTCTCCACTATCGCCATCGCCATCGATGTTGGGATACTCATCTTTGTACCAGGCATCCTGCTCAATCCCTTCCACATCTTCTTCATCATCACCAACTTGTGGTGTAGTGGGGTCATAGCCACAAGCAAACCGAGCTTCACGTGCCTTAGCACGTGCATTCTCTAAGTCGGCTTCCGAAATAGCCCCTGTCCCCATCAGATCCCTAAATATATCCAGCTGGGTTTCGGCGTGAATCCATTCCACATACAGATCCCGAGGAACATCAAGAAAAGCAGGAGTGCGGGATGAGGATGGTTGCGCCAGTAACTGTGCCTTTTTGGCCTCGAGCGCAATAACTCGATAACTAAGGTCTGCAGCCTCTTTTTCTAACTCCCCAATCCGCTCATCAATCTGCTCCTCTCTGAGCCTAGCCGTCTCCATGGCGCAATCCCGTTCAGAACGGATAACACGGATCGTGTCCTCTAAAGCTGCTGCTTTACCCGCAGCTGATAACTGGGCCGACTCCGCCTTCTCCAAGCCCGCTACCTTCTCGGTGACCTCGCCACTTAAAACGGTCGCTCGAAGTTGACACTCCTCCAGAACGGCACGTAGCGAGACCACTTGAGCTTGAAGGTCGGTGCATTGGGCCTCGACCCCCTACTCACCTCGAGCTCCTCCTCTTTGTCCTTCAACTCCCCCTTGAGCTCACTACATTTTCCGATGACCTTCATCAATTCGTCATCCTTCTCCTTTAGCTCATTTCGGAGGGCCTGGAAGTTACTACTTCCACCAAGTCGCCGGCAAATCTCACGATGCTTATCACGATAATCGCGATATTTTCGCTCCATCTTTTGGAAGATGGACTTACGCCTCTCCTCTCGGTAGGAACCTTCAATCTCCAAGATCACGGTCTAAAAAGAAAGCCAAAACGGGTAAGAACAAAGTCAGAATCGACATGAAAAACGAATATGGAAACGAAATACTGAACATACCCTAAGGGTAAGGCCGGCTATGCTCCTCGACAAAGTGGAATCCTTCAGCTTCTCGAGGGTCTTACCCTCCACATCGGAACAGAGTGGACCAAGAAAAGGGACCACATCCTCTGTGTCAACTAATAGATCTCGGTCCAGAGGGATCGCAATAGTCCGTGTCCTCCCCTCCAACCTCACCTCAAGCCGGGTGAGTCCTTCCCCCATCATCCTAACCTCTTCGGCGTCCATATCGGAGCCCGTCTCATAATCCTCTCCGGCAACACTTTTATCCTTGGTATCAACCCGAGAGGAAGGGTCCTCGACTAGTAACGAGGTCGATGTCTCACCCCCTTGTAAGGTGTCAGGGACTCGTGCCGATGACTCTTCAAAACCCGTTTTGACCTCAGGGAGCAACGTACATCCCTCGACCCCCGATGACGGCGGAATCATGGACAGCAGCTCGGCATCAACTCTGATATCTATGGTCGCCGTTTCTCTGATGACAAAGCCCTCCATCACCGAACTCCCCACGCGGACACCTCCCTCGCCGATACCGATGGATCGCCTCTTGTGGGGAAGCAAATTATCATCATTCAGCGACGATCCTTCCTCATCGTCCTCGTCAACTAGATGAAGCAGAGGGGACCGCAGTAGTCGACGATCGAGCATGTCTCACCGTAGCAGCAGGAATAGAAACGACATTCCTCTTACAAAATGTCGGAGCAGAAGCTTTCTGCCTCTTCGAAGACCCTCAGCCTGCAAAAGGTGATTAGAACGGTAACTCTCAAAGTCATGACGAACACGCGACCACAAGGTCAAGACGACATATGTAAAAGGTCACTCTATATAAATACGGACGGACAAACTCATTGGTCGCTGAAAGTTTGGGCCCGAACTTCTGGGAAAAGGTCGGCCACCCAAGAATCCCACTGTGTGAGGCAAGACCTGGCTAACCCAATCGTGAATATCCGAGACCAAAGGAGGGGGCTCGGTCTCAGCTGAACGCGAAAAAGACAGAATGGTTAGACTACGATCAGAACGAGCAAAATGAGTACTTAGTGAAAATACTTATAGGCGTAATTCCATGCCTCAGGGAATTCATTTGCGTTCGCCACCACGTCCTCAGTTTTGACGTATAAGTAATTAAACTAGAATCGATGATTTGCTTTATTGTCCATCTTTACTACCAAGCTTTTACCTCTACGGTGACGGAAGTGCAACATCGTCCCTCTATGGAAACTCGGCGCGAAGAGGTGCATCATGTGGCAAAGAGAGACCCCGCAGTCAGCCAATTCCGTGTACTTCGTCAACATGAGGATGAACTTGTAGATATAAGGAGAAAGTTGAGCCAGGCAGATGCCGTAGTAGCGGCAGAATTCCTCTGCCAATGGAAGAATGGGAAAAGAGTAGCCCACGTAGAATGGATATGCGTAGAACGCGCAATATCCAGGGCGATGGATCTGCACCATATCGCGTCTAGCCGGGACCAGATCGATGTGGACTGGAATTTTGAACTTCACCCCGAAATTAGCAAGGGCAGTCGTGTCTATCTCAGACTCTACGGCCTCAGGGTCATCCTCGGATAGCTTTGAGAAGTCAGCTCTAGCCTTCTCGCTACGGGGAATTATTTTCTCCACCGTAGACAAGCTTTCATCTTCTGCAACAATGGCAGCCCCACCGTCAANCCCCCCAGAATCGGAAGACACATTAACCATTTTGGTTTATGAATAGAGGGGGTGTAAACGCAGAAGAGTCAAGATTAGCAGGAGCCACCAAAACCAGTGAAGGCAAAGAGTATGAAGTAAGGTCAAGAAAGCAGAGATTCTAATTGAGGAAGAAGAAGATATGAAAATCCGATTTTAAAATGCAAAGAGTGAATCGAAGGATTGAGTATCCCCATTTATAAGAGTTAGGGCATCAATATCGAGGAAGCAAACCGCAGTCGCCCAGATCAAGAATCGAAACGGCAAAGACGCGAGAAACGATCTAGGGTATCGGGAAAACGCATAATAATGACGCATGATGACATGACGTCACTCTGAAACGATGTGACCCTAGGTTGCGGCTCACGAAAGGCCACGTTTTCATCCCGTTCGAAGCACTACTACTCGACCTGCTCGCATAAAACTTCTCAACCCTAACTAACAGAGTCCGCTAATTGAGGTCGCCCAGGGTCGACATCAATAAGCGGAGGGACTAACTGTATAGGTAAAAATCTGCCTCAATGGGATTTAGCATGGAGCGATATTGTGGAAAGCGATATGGTCGAAGTCGACTAGTAGATAACGGGGCTCGTAGTCGAGCAGTTAATAACGGTCGAGGTCGAGTATCAAGGGCAGTGCTAACGGCTAGTTTTTGTAATAGGATATTCAAGATAATATTCCATTGAATATTCTTGGTGTGTGTACTTTTAGAGTTGACTAGGGAATGTCTTATATAAATAGAAAAAGAGATAGGGAGAAAAAGAGGCATGTAAGATTCTCTAATAAAAATACTATTTGAGAAGAATACTTTCTCTCTAAAAAAGATACAAACACTACCTTTCTGAGAAGATTCGATTATATATTATCTCACACTTTTAAATTAGATCCGAGAATAGTTTTAATATTATAGTATATGCCTATCACTCGTCACTGTCAGAAGGAGGAATCATCCACCCCATTCAATATTAGGTGAATCATTCTCCTTGTTTACGTTAATTCCATTTATTGTTATTTCTTCTATTTGAAATTCTTTTATCATCAATGAACTGGAAACATTGAATGTACGTTGCATTTAATCCTTCGCCAACATGGTCCGGTTTTATTTGAGTTGAATAGTTATAAATCTGAAGATATTATTATTAACTAGGCTTAATCTTTTTCTATATTAAATCAATTAGTTTAATCAAAAGTCTACATTTTTTGGTTAAACAAAGCCAAAAAAATATTGGGCATCTAAGGTTTACAAACAAAAAGAGGTTTCAACCTAATTGTTACAAGTGCAAGAAAATTTAGTAAGAAAAAATTACACTTGAATAGTCACCACTCACCTATTAACATAAACTTGTCTTTTCTTTGTTATAAAACTTGTGTCTCTCCATTGTCTAGAGACAACCCAAGGAATATTACTTCCCGAATGACTTTGTATTATGCTAGGGTACATTGAACCAACTATTGTGTTTTTGCTTTTTATATATACTAGTATTAGGATACGCGCGATGTACGTGTACTTTGTATCAATAAGAATAAAAATTTTAAAAGTAACATAAAATATATTCAAAAGATATATTTGCATTATAAATATAAAAAGTATTTAAAAATTATGAGCTTCTGAAAATGATAAATGTTAATCATGTTTGAGTTTGGTTCGCTTTAATATGTAAAATTTTATATTTTTAGTTGATTTTAAAGTGGTAAATTGAATTGTAACATGAAAAAATTAACAACTATGTCACGTTGCTAAAATAAACAACTAATTCATATAAGGGAATTTAAATCTAGATTAGTTTTAAAGTTTAAAAAATCAATTAGCCCAAATGGTTTGCATGATGTTCCCCTATATTTCTTACCACCATTGAACGTGCATGTGTTGGGTGAGTTTATTAAAGCGTCTAATTAATAGAATTTTACATGTTAAGAACTTAATATGGATTGATTACTCTTACATAAATAATTTAAATAAGGTAAAATCTTAATTGATTTTGAACTCTTAAATATTGAACTCTTAAATATTATGACTTCATATATAATTCAAATAAGGAACTAATTCCTAAATATTAGGAAAATAAGTTGAATTACTACTTTGTCTAATGTGAACTTTATTTTTAATGGGTAAAAAAGGCGAATGATATTTCGCTAAGTGCCTTCGTACTTTTAATATAGTACTAGCTTTAGGGTACGCGCTTTACACGTGTATATATATATCAGTGAGTGTTAAATTTTTTTAAAAAAATTATGTAAATATTAAATAATATTTCCNGTTGTCAACATCCTTTGCATTTAGTTTTCCCCTGGCCCCTAAATTCCAATTGAGAAGTAGAAAATAAAAAACAGTTGGTGGAATCTTGAGATGGTAGCCTCATAAGAAAAGTAGCAAAAAGTGGTGGAAGCTTCAGATTGGCCTCATAACAGAAGTGGCTAAAAAATATAGATTTCTTGGGGTTGTCACAAAAAATTTCCCGAGTTAATTTTTTTCCTCATTTAAACGTTTTAGACATATATAATTAATTTCCAGATTTTGTGATGCAATACTGTGGATTCTCTTTAGTTTTGGTGGATGAGATCTACATTTGAGAATGAGAGTTCAACTACACATTCTTTACTTCAAAGAGCTATGCTGACTTTACGTCAATGGTATGAAATAATTTTAGCTATGGTTTATGACTGAGTAATATTCTTCCTCGGGCTCCTTTTTTGGTAACTCTCTACAAATTGCAAATCTTGTATAGATTAGTTATCAATTGTCTTTCTTGAGTTTCAGGCTGCCCATACTGTACTTTTTTACTATGTTAATATTTCAATATGTGCATTTGTATGTCTCCATGTGTTTATATGGATACACTTCCGCAAGGGTAGTTGAGTAAGTCATCATTCTATTAAAATGTAGGAAGAGCAAGTAGCTGCTGTTCTATATGGGAAAGACATAGAAAAGTATGCAGACAACTTCACCCCGTTTTCCACTTACTTGATATCTACTGCAAAAGTGAGAGTTCCTTTACCCTACGAAGTACCTATCAACCATTTTGAATGGGTTATTGATAAATTTACTGTCGTCGAAGAGGTGAAAGATGCTAACATACAAGACCCACCGCTCCCACCTCCGACGAGGTTGAATACTGTACCTTTTGCATATTTGCACGAGCAACAGCGAAATACGGAATTTGGCAATCATTATTTTACGTGTAATACCTTCTGACAATTAAATTTATTTGTATCCTTACATTCTGAGACCGTGTACATTGGTCTAAATTATAAGTCGCTTGCAATGTCCACTACACAGACATAATCGCCATTCTGGTGAACTGTGGCTCGATAAAGTATGTTGGCGCTAACAATAGAAAATATCGTGAAATCACCATAATGGATACCAAGTAAGTCTGCTGGCATTCTATTTACTTTATTACTTCCTTCCAAAAAAAAAATTGGCTACAAATATATAGCCAGATATTGTATGGCGATGTCGTCTTATTTAGTTGATTACTTTTGTCAGATACCTTTAATTAAAAAGTTACAATGTCATGAGATTATAATCTCAACCACCTCCTACTGCACCTTCAGCTTGATCTATGCCATATGCGTTACTTCTTTGTTCAACAAATTTGATCTTTCTATAAATAGAACAACGCATAAGATCTCCAAAAAGAAATNGATTATAATCTCAGCCATCTCCTATTGCACCTTCAGCTTGATCTATGCCATATGCGTTACTTCTCTGTTCAACAAATTTGATCTTTCTATAAATAGAACAACACATAAGATCTCCAAAAAGAAACTGTATAGAATTTCAGACATAATCCAGCTTTCTCTTTGTCTTGACATTTTGAAGTACAACATTTTAGTGATCACCATGGTTTAGTACAAATTTTTATTCTGTATACTGGCCTAGGTAAAATCCAGTACTGCTCACGAGAAAAGAAATGCAAAGAAGTCTGAAATGTGTCTATTACTATTTTTTTTAATTTGTCCGTTACTGCCTTTTTTTAATGTAAACATTAACTACTACCATCTGATATATCGTAGTGAAGAAGACTTCATTACTTAATGGGAGATTAAAACTCCTTATATTCTACTGTCTGCGTCATTTTTGTAGCTAAAACATGATTCATATATAATACGAGTTAAGAAAGTTTGTTACTCATTTTAGAAGATTATCCATTGGAAAATATTTAAATGTATAGCTAACTCTAATATATTAGATAGACCTATTTCCTCTTCTAGGTCAGTTACAACTTTTTGTAGAAATATTTTTGGTTGACAAAAAAACCTTAACAAACAAACATAAAGTGCAATATGTTAACATCTAGAAAAATATTTATATAAGTTCTTAAGTGTCTATATAGGCAGAAAAATTCTCTTCTCAATCTTTATACTCGGCAATCTATCAGGTAATTTATTTGTTCTCTTTTTTGGACCCTAAAATATATATTTTGCCGATGTATTTGCTGTGTAGATTTTAGAAAATACAGTGACAACTACATAATCCAGAAGTGATTAACTCCAACTGATTCTAATTAAGTTGTCTACAACGCCACTCTTCCCTATAGCGAGAAGAAATTAAACCGAAGCTAAGTATCAAAACCTTCAATTCGACTAACAGTAAAATCAGAACAAACACAAACTTATCAAAAAAATAAAGCTACATACAAGATTTTTTTTTAGAAAATCTTACATATGCAGCTNAAAATACAGTGACAACTACATAATCCAGAAGTCATTAACTCCAAACCGATTCTAATTAAGTTGTCTACAACGCCACTCTTCCCTATAACGAGAAGAAATTAAACTGAAGCTAAGTATCAAAACCTTCAATTCGACTAACAGTAAAATCAGAACAAACACAAACTTATCAAAAAAATAAAGCTACAAACAAGAATTTTTTTAGAAAATCTTACATATGCAGCCCAGAAATTCCTTCAATTCCAAAGCAAACATCAAAGAGAGTATACTGATGTGTTATGCTGCATTTGTTTGCTTAGACACGCAAGCTGCATCATTTAAAAAACCTTTTTGCCAACCTTCACTCTCCTGCGCGAACATGTTACTTACTTCTTGTAGCATTGTTTGAATTACGGTCTTACCGAATTGTCTCTACTATTTTTATATTTAGACCTCATCTTTATTACTCTTGCTAATATTGTTAGACTTGTATTTTTTTTCATTGGGTAGTATCAGTTATTGTCCATTCCTTTTACTGTAGTATGAGGCCTACTATCCTTACGCTGTGGGAAGACTTCGCCGACGCTGATGGAAGCATCCTCGCTGCAGAGGTTGCTGAATATCCAGTAATTGTAGCAAAACGAATTATGCGAACCACCTATGCTGGTATGGAAAACATTACGCTCTTTTTTTTTGGGTATTCCAAGAGGTTTATTGTGAATTCTTTACTAACATAATGAGTCATATAGGATTATCATTGTCGACAAGGTACAACTCGGTCATACTGATAAATCCACTATATCCTCAAGTTGGAAGACTTCTAAACTGGTATGGAACAAATATTGATATAATCGAATTTTATATTTTGTTAATTAGTTCATGCAAATTAAACATGTGCAGGTAAACTAAATAGTCTAGCATATGCAATTCCCTTCTGTACTGCCATGTTTTCCTTCTTCCCCAAAAAATGGGACATACTTAGCGGACTATAAGTTCGAAATTTCTGTTTCAGTTAATTACAAGTTTATACAAACTTGGTATCTATGTATTTTCATTGAAATGGTTTTGAACTACATTGCATCTCATTTTACAATATAACTTTACGAGTTTAAAATGTTAGAGCTTATATGCAAATTTTCGCACCGATATAATATCACACACCGATATATGTGTGAGTTTGCCCTTATATTCAGTCAGTATTTGGGTATGGTATATGTAATATTGCTAAGAACAACCAGTACTTCTATGAGCTCCCAATATGTAATGTTATCCCTTTTATCAGCTATAAAATAACACTGCAGCACGTTGATTATTGGGGATAGCTACTTTACAATCTGACAAACAAAGTGATATCGCTGTTCAATGCTGACTAAATTTGTGCAAAATTTGCTTATTCTCTCAACAGGAACTGTTGCAGTCACTGAGGCTAATAACCATAGTTTCTTATATGTATTCTTATAAAGTGTCTACACTATATGTACGCATACCACATATGCACTATATGTTGGAGTTGTAGCCAGCTGAAAAATTATGTTATGTGTATTATAATTGTGGTCAGCTAAAAGAATTTTTTTTGGGTACTTTGTGTTAATTTTTCGTGTTATTGGTGTAATCTGCGCAATAATTTGTCATTGAAACAACCTATTCTTACTTTTTCCTACACTTCTAAATTTTGTCACAACCTTTTCGTGTCGTTTTAAATCTACCTGACATTTTGTTGCCATTGAAATGCCTCTATACATGCACAGGGTCAGAGACAACCGACCAAGACTTATGAGATACAGTCAGCAGGCAGTAGATTCGTCTCTTATGCTTGCGGCAGAATACAATGATACTGTCCCAATTGCTGATATCCAGTCACAACCTCATGTAGGTGTATTTCATTCCTGCTAATAGGTGTACATATACAGTACTTTAGTATTTTTATCCCAAATAAATCTACTTCAATCCCTCTCTTTTACAGATACAACTCTTTTACGTGGAAGGTAAATTATCATTGCCGGCTGATGACCAAGATTTTTATGAATTACTGTGTTCCCACTACGGGCAGCAGTACAGAACTCATTCGCCGAAAATTATTCATTGTGCGAGCTGCAAACAACATGCGATGTTAACACCCATGTATTGTGACTTTGAATTCAAGCCTAATAAAATATGTCCGTTCTACATCTTCAAACAAAAAAGGTTTCTTCAGTCATTGGCTTTATAAAAATCAAATAACGCAAATTAATTGCTAACGTAAATCAAAGCGACGAATTAATTTACTTGATG